TCAAATGGAAAATGTTAAGAAAATACCTTTCATTCTGTTTATTTTGACGCCAAGGTACCTTGGCTGGCAACTGTCATTTTGGAGTCTTATTTTCTGAGGTGTTAGAAAATTTATTCTGAACAGGCTAATAGCAAGGCGTCGTGAGTAAGGCAATTAAATTTAAGGAATAAGTAGAAGCTGAAACACGTTTGCAATTTTATTTTAGGAAGCAATGTAAAATGAACGATGCTTACATGTTAACTTAGAAGCGTTGGCTAATTTTGGCGCTAATTTGATAACAGTTTTTCTTTATTTGAGGTGAAAAATGTTTGGCATTCGCTTCTAAACTAGCTTCGAAGGTTTTTTTTTCCAATCCTGAGCTGTAACTTTGTGAGGTCACTTGAATTCCACCAAGTACGACTTCATATATGGTGTCTTATTGTTGCGACGTATCTTGCTGTTGCAACATCGCCATAAGCTCTTCGATCAACTCGGAATAGGGTGGTGTATTTAATTATGGCAAAGCATACTAGGGCTATCTGCCTAAGGGGAGGGATACCTTCGTGGAGGACTTTCTAAGGGAAACTAGCTCGTATACACGTTACACATGGGGAAAACCACGAAAACACCCATGCAGCCAGCCCGTTCGCGGGATTCGAATCTCGGACCGAACTACCAGTGTTCAGCGACTTCACCGCTCGGCCGCTGGTGGGCCCGACTCGGAATAAAACTTCCTTTTGTGCAAATAGAGAAAATTAGTACTTACTCGATAATACATTATACTCTTGTATGAAACTAATAAGTTAGCTTCAAAGTTGTTTAGTAGATCTCATAGATCCATGGATTGAACTATTAAACCCTCCCTTCAAAAAAAAAGAGACTTTCTTAAAACTGCTGCTTATAGGCGTTCTTAAAACTGGCGATGTCGTGCCTTCGCCATACATATTCATTGTGTTATGGTGCCAAAGTTGGCAACTATTCTCTTCTTTTGGCGAATTTTCACTTTTTGTCTATCAATACACAACTACGAAGTAAAATTTTATTTTTCAATTAAAGTACTTTAAAATATACTTCTTTCAGAATCTTATTTGTAGACGGTAGACCACGAGTTCAGGCTAATTATGTTTAAACAATTATACTTAGGACTCTTGTTCAAAGGCAGACTTTATAGGTTGCCTTGGAAAATTGGAAGTTACTTGCATTATGCATAACTATTTGTGCCGCTCAGATGGTATAGTGGCTCGGCGAGCCTACTGCGGTACCGCTGGGCCCGGGTTGGAATCTCGGATAAGGCATGGATGTTTGTAAATGTATAGTGTCTGTGCGGCATTGGGGCAATCTAAATATGCGGTGTAACTAAAGTCCTCTCCAGAGGCTGGTGGTAGGGTAAGGTGACCAGATTTTAAAATTTGTAAAGCGGGACATTGACCGGAAGGAGGGGGTTCTTAATTAAAATTTGGTTTACATGGAGCAACTAAAATTTTCATAGAACGCAAAAATAGTATTCAATATTTTTTCAAATTTCAACACAAGTACAATTTACAATTATACTTTAAAAAATTATGTATAGTATTATTTCATTATTTGGTATACTTCTCATTTGAGCGAATTTTTTTTTATTAAATTGCTGTCGTTGTTTAAAAAATCATGAAGCTTTTCACAATAATTTGTTGAATTATATTTCACATATAAAATGGCTTTTAAAGTGTCAACACTTAATTGTGATTTTTCTGATGTCCATACTTTATTTTACCGTAGAAAAAAACGCGTTCAGTCGCAGCATTAGTTTCTGGTAAGGACAAAGCATATTCGACAATTTTTAGTGGATTATTGTAGAGAACATGGTTTATTTCAAAATTATGAAATATTTCTAACTATTTGTTCTCCAGTGTGATTTTTGCTGATGCCCAAGATTTAACCTTTTCGTTATCAATATATTGTTTTAATAATGGTACCTCATTGAAAAGTCATTTTCGAAACTATATATGGGAAATTTTGAGCAATATGATCGAATGGTTTTTGCACATCATTCCAATTAAGTTCTTGTTTTAATGTAACCTAATGAAAATGTTTAATGTCGTTGTAATGTATCGTCTACTCTTCTAAATAATTTATGCAGTTACTATAGAACTTTTTAATGTGAATCGTGATATCTGCACAATTTATTGCACATTGTTCTATCTGGTTACGGAAAGTCAATGGAAGAAAATTTTCTAACTGCTCTTGACACTGAAATTTTAAATTATTAACTTCATTTGCTACTTCGATTACCGAAACTTCGTCACCTGCAGCAAGTTTTATAGCATTTTGAAAAAAATGCTACTTCATCGTGTCCAAACTCTAGCCAAATTTTTGAAGATTCTTTCTCAACGAGCACAGTGTATATATTAGCCATAAGAATATATTTTGTCGTCCTTCCAAAAAACGGGACTTCTTTAAAACGTCGCGGGAGAAATTGTAAAGCATCGGGACTGTCCCGCCAAAAGCAGGGCGGGGCGTCTGGTCACCTTATGGTAGGGAAAGAGGGTTTTCAGGCTACTGAACCAGTCTCCCCCTCTCGGGTTACTTTTCATCAAAATTGGGCCAGAAATGAGTGAAGCTGTACTGTCACTTGCAGGAAGCTCAAGGCTCTTGCCTACGACAGCACAATCTTGCAGTCCTTGCTACGATTAGCTTCGTGAGCTTGTTCTGATGTTACTGACAGACAAGCGAGATAAATTACAACAACATAATTATAGGAGGTTACTGGCCAATGTCCATATAGTACGAGTGTCCTATAGTATATATGCCCTATAGTAAGAGTTTTGCCACGGGAAAATCTTTAGTAGACTTTCGAGTTACTACTAATACACTCTACTAATATAGACTGCACAGGAGCTCCGCCGCCGAAATGCATAAATGAATAGAAAAAGCTATGCAAAAGCGCTTGGTAATTACTTCTTTAAAGAGGAGTTTAGTATACCGTTTTTAAAGGAGTATTAAAGTTATTTTTAAGTTGAAAATGAGGAAATTGCGAAAATACCCCTATTTTCTGTATGTTTTGCAGCCAGCTTATCCCTGCTCGCAACTGTCATCGTCTTTTGAGAAGCTAAAAGGTTTATTCTGAAGGGATTATCTTTCGAATTTTTGAGTAAAATAAGGAATGCTTACACTCTAACGGAGAAGCATTGTCTAACTTTGGCGGCAGTTTGATAATTAGTTTTACTGTATTTGAGGAGAACGTTCTACTTACGTTCTTAAAACTGGCGATACCGTACATTTACTGTAGCGATTCATTTCTCTTATTGGGCCAAAGTTGGCAGCTATTTCCCTCTCTTTGTGTGTATGTGTGTGTGTGTATGACGAATTTTAACTTATTTTCTTATTCTTCATTAACACATAAGTACCAAGTAAACTTTTCATTTTATTTTTCAATTAAAGTGTTATAAAATACAATTTTTTAGAATCGTATTTGTTTATATACCTTGTAATTAGTACATCACGAGTTCAGGCTACTCGTGCTTAAACAATTATGTTTAGGCTTGGTTTATGTGGTTACGGCGAAGGCTCGGAGGCTCTCTGCCTAAGGGAAGGAATGCCTTCGTGGAAAGCTTTCTAGGCAAAACTGGCTCCTATACACGTTACACATGGGGAAAACCATGAAAACGCCCATGCAGCCAGACTATTCGCGGAACTGATTTACCACTTTTCAGCGACTTTGCTATTCGGCCGCTCGTGGGCCCAGTTATGCTTAGAACTCGTGCCCAAAGGCATGCCTTCGAGACTGCGGCCGAAAATTCGCAGTTGGCTGCATTATGCATAATTATAGAAGGTGCTGGTACCTAGGAAAAGCATCCACAGAAACAACCTGTATCATATAGGCCGTATAGTGCTCTATAGTTTCAATCATTAGTTGATCAATAGACCATGAAAATATCTTGTAATTTTAACTTCACTACAACGTTAGCATTACCAGTGTTTAGGCATTTAATTCGAAGAATTTTGAGGAAATAATTCCTGTTCTGGAACTAGCTGAAAAATGTCCATATAATACGAGTGTTCTATAGTATATATGTCCTATAGCGAGTTCTTCCACGGGATAGTTTTTAGTGCAGAAGTTTGAGTTACTACCAACACACTGTACTAATATACACTGCATATGAAACCATTCGATGGTTTGATTTGGTTTATGCGATTGCGGCAAAGCCTCGAGGGCTATCTGCCTAAGGGATGGGATACGTTCGTGGAAGACTTTCCAAGGAAAACTGACTCGTGTCACATGCGAAAACCACGAAAACGGTTTGTACAGCCAGCCCGTTCGCGAGACTCTAAACTCAGACCGAACTACCAGTGTTGAGGGACTTGACCGTTCGTCTGCTGATGGGCTAAATCATTAGAGTTTCCTTTGACGATACAAATGAAGAATTGTTTCCTAATTTATTTAGATCTCTTATCTCAATGTGAGGCTAATGTGTTAAAAAGATAAACGTTCATAATATCTTTCTACTACGCACAGAAATATATGACCGAAAGAATGGATAACAGTAGGTATTTCAGCCAAGCTAAACTTTGTTGATTTTCTGTAAAATTAGAGGTTGAAAAAAAATCACTTGAAGAAATTTAGGTACTTCTTGGTCCAGTAGCTCTGCAGAAGAGGCTGATAGACCTTTACACGAATGAGAAATAATTATTCCTAACAGCTTAAAAATATCATTCAAGACAAAATTTCAATAATGGAAATTACGATTTTGGAAATATATAAAAGTGAACATTCGCACTATAGTGCATAAGCATTACAAAATGAAGTGACATTATTTTAAAGTCCAAGTCAAAAATTATTTTGACAATACTTAAAATACAGAATTAAATTCTTAAAATGATTTATGTTATTCTTAAAATGGAAACGTGCATTAGTGATCATCACTCGCACAGTAATACTCAAGCATTATAAAGTAAACTGATAATAGTAGTTCGAAATCTATTTCAAAATTATTTAGAAATGATACTTAACATAGAAGAATAGATTTTTAAAATAAAATTACCTTTTGATGCAGAAGTACACTACATAAGAAATAACACTATTTAATACGCTACCTCAAGCCAAAACAAAAGATTGCGTGGCGAAATCTACAGGATGGGAACGAGAAAGGGTTATATATAGAGAGACGCACTGCTGAGCTGATTCGATGCGCGTTAAGTTAAAAAATTTGCATGCAGTTTGATAAATTTGAAATATCATGTTAATTAAAAACAGTTAAGTTAATTTAAAGAGAAAATTTATCGAGAAAATTTGCTAGAAGTGTATTTTAATGTTAATAGTAAGCGTGCTCAAAGGAAGCAATTTTAAGCACATTTTGAGCATATTTATTTTAGACAGAGTCAGATTTCATAGCGCCAAGTGCAGTCGTATATTTTTAGAATATCGAATGCAATTTAATATCTTTTTTTAAATATTTTTCATGGAAATAATTTTAACTATGTTTTACAATAAAATTGCAGTATATATATATATACTGCAATATATATATTGTTGCGTGCGTACGGGTTCGTTACGAAATGAATGCACAAGTCCGATGAAAAATGAACAAAAATTTATTATTATCACAACAAAAATGCTTAAATTTTCTCAAATTATCATGCAGTATTACAATATCTCACAGTAGTTTTCTTTTAACTACTCAAATGTCCAATAGAACGTAATTCAAAACAGCTAAAGAACGCTAATCCGCGAATTCGCTATAATCAACAACAGCAGTTTTCTAAACAACAACAAACTAAGCAACTACTAAAAACTGAGATGTTTTCCTCCTTTTATAAGATTTTAAAATCACGCGCTAGAATTTTCCAGTACTTTCTCGAAATCAAAAAGAGATATTATTTATTTAATGCACGCGCTCTTGTATTTTCAATTTTCCGGCTTAGCTTAGCTTTCTTTAATATTCGTCACGCGCTGCACTGCGCGAGAAATAAAACCATTTTAATTTATAATTGAACTAACATTAGCTTTTTAAATACAAAATTCGTAACATTATATATATATATAGTACAATTTTAATACATGAAAAACAACACTTCAAAAAATTATTGACAGAGCATATTTGTTACTATAACATCTTACACTTAAAAATTTTTGGTGTCAGGAGTGGGGTTTGAATGCCAATCACAAGAGCGATGGAAGAGCAGTTAAGACAGCTGATATCAGCCTTTGCTGCATTTAAGGAAGAAATGAAATTGGGCCAAGATTCCGTTAAAGGAGAGATGAGATCCGTTAAAAAGGAAATGGAAGCCGTTCACGAAAAGTTGGAAGCTGGTCAAGTAACTTTTAAAGAAGACATAAAAGCTGTACAAGAAAAGATTGAGGCAGGTCAAGACGAAATGAAAAGAGAAATAACCTGCGTAATAGAAAGTAAATTTGAGGCTATGGAAGACAGAATAGGAGCTGTCGAAAATAAAGTCGGGCAAATTGAAGAAAAGGTTTCTTCTGTCAAAGATGAAATAGAAGATAGAGTGTCGGCTGTGGAGCAACGAGTCGAAGGAAGAGTTTCGGCCTTCCAACAACAAATTGAAGAAAGAGTTTCTGCCGTCGAACAACAAATTGATGATAGGGTTTCTGCTGCCATCGCCAAAGAAGTTGACAGCCTAAAGAAGTGCATAGCGACGGTAGGAAACAATTCTGAAGGTTTCAAATTTTTATCGATGCCTGCTCGTTCCGTTCTGAAACTATCTACATATGATGGGAAGACCTCCTGGCAGGTGTATAGGACACAATTTTCTATCGTTGCGGATGCGAATGGATGGGATTCCCAAGCTAAGGCCTGTCATCTTGCCGCTTCTCTGAGAGCAGACGCAGCGGATATCCTGCAGACGCTTCCCGAAAATCAAAGGCTAGATTTCGAAGCTCTATCCGGCGCTTTGCAGCTGCGCTTCGGCAAGAAATGTTTAAAAGACTACAGAAGGCTCCAATTAAAATCTCGTCAACAGAAGCTCACCGAAACGCTTCAGGAGCTCGCCACGGATGTTGAAAGGCTGTCACATCACGCCTTTTCGGAGTGCCCGACACAGAAACAAGGGAAATCCTGTCCCTGCAATATTTCATCGATGGCATCCGGGACCCTGAAATACAGAAAGCACTGCGAATGGCGGATGTTAAAGATCTGAAAAGCGCTTTAGTGTATGCCATGAAATTTGAGGACAGCCCAGCAAGCAACTCGGAGAGTCGAGGACTCGCAGACCGGAGAATCCAGTCAGAGCTGTGCGAGTCCACGACCCAGGGGACCAATTGATGGCTCGTTTAGATGATTTATCCAGACAAGTCGACGCTTTGATACGGAGTAGCAGTGAGAACAAAGTGGCTGTAAGATGTTGGAGATGTGGTTTCTGAAGGTCACCTACGACGGCATTGCAGAACACCCCAGGGGCACGGATAATAAAACGAGATGAGTTGACAAGACCAGTGAATGCTTTAAGACGGAATAGTGGTGAAAAAAAAACCGACCCTAAAGTGCTGGAATTGCGGTGTTGAAGGCCACCTACGAAGGAACTGCAGAACCCCCCCAGAGCCACGGAAAATAAGGCAATACGATTTAAACAGACAATTAAATGCCACGGACGAAGGAACGAAGGACTGACAAGAAACCAAAGTGCTGGAACTGTGGAGCTGAAGGCCACGTACGAAAGAATTGCAGAACACCCCAGGGTACGAAATTGAGACAATTTCTGAGCAACGACGCAGGAAACAAATTAATGACCATATCAAGGAACGGAGGTTGCCAGATAATGAAAAACCCTGTTTTAAAAGCGCTTAAGATCTCTATAGTGAGTGGCAACAATAACGGACTGTCCATCAATGGGAATATCGATGGAGTTCCTTGCAATATGATCATTGACACAGGAGCTAATGTTACCATCATTAGGAAAGATTTAGCTGAACAGTTTAAAGATAAACTTATTTGGACGCCTATCCTGTGTTACCCTTCAGACTGCGTCTGGTGACAAGGATCGACATAACTGGGAAGTTAAACGTAAACATCACGTTTGGAAGTGCCGCCTACCATCACACGGCATATGTGGCGGATATTGACAGATCCATGCATACTCGGATTGGACATTTTAAGGAAATGGACAATTTTTCCTTAGATTTCAAAAACAATAAGCTGCTTTCAGCATCTGATGGCATGACTATCCATCCTCAAAAGGGATCCTCACCTGGAAATGTCGACGCCTTGTCCGAAAGATCGAGCTCGGGAAGCTGCCGAAATCATACCAGGGTCGAAAAGAAACGCAAGACTACCAGCTATTCTCCATCTCAGAAGCTCTTCGGTCAAGACCTTCGTCTGCCTTGTGACCGCCTGTTTAGTCGCCCTACGGATGCGCCTTCATCGCCTGAGAACACATCCAAGATGCCCAGGCCCGGTTTGAGAGGATGCATCGTTCTGCACGAAAGCGAGTCAACTTGGCGACGGAGAAAATGAAGACCAGATGCGACACAAGAGCTACTAGACATAGATTCCAACAAAGGAGACAAGGTGTGGTTGTGTAACCCGATTCAACGAAAAGGACTGAGTCCTAAATTACAGTCACCCTCGGATGGTCCATATACAGTGCTGAACACGAATGACGTCGTGGTTCGGATCCGTGAGTCTTCGAACTCTTACGACAGGTTAGCTTATTACTATGGCCATAGTACATAATGTAAATAATTGTAAATAGTATAAGACCATGGTCCATTTTGTTTTTAAATGTGTATTTGATTTGTATTTGATAGCATTTGATTTGTTTTATGTATTGCATTTATTGTCATGATGTTTATTATTGTAATGTAATGCTTATTAATGCATTTATGCCACAGTTGTAAGTTTAGCTTCCTGTCCAGGGATTGTACTGCCCGGGACGTGCAGTCCTTGGAAAGGGGGCAATGTTACGAATTTGGTATTTAAAAAGCTAACGTTAGTTCATTTATAAATTAAAATGGTTTTATTTCTCGCGCAGTGCAGCGCGTGACGAATATTAAAAGAAAGCTAAGCCGGAAAATTGAAAATACAAGAGCGCGTGCATTAAATAAATAAATATCTCTTTTTGATTTCGAGAAAGTACTGGAAAATTCTAGCGCGTGATTTTAAAATCTTATAAAAGGAGGAAAACATCTCAGTTTTTAGTAGTTGCTTAGTTTGTTGTTGTTTAGAAAACTGCTGTTGTTGATCATAGCGAATTCGCGGATTAGCGTTCTTTAGCTGTTTTGAATTACGTTCTATTGGACATTTGAGTAGTTAAAAGAAAACTACTGTGAGATATTGTAATACTGCATGATAATTTGAGAAAATTTAAGCATTTTAATTTATAATTGAACTAACATTAGCTTTTTAAATACCAAATTCGTAACAATATATATATATATATATATAGTACAATCTTAATACATGAAAAACACACTTCAAAAAATTATTGACAGAGCATATTTGTTACTATAACATCTTACACTTAAAAATGGAAATATCATGCAGACATTTTTCATTTCTTAAATTTTTCGTTATGGCTTAGAGAAAACTATTTCTTTTTATACCAGAGATTTTGTTACAGTATTTGAAATGTTAATTGTGTATTAGAATTAATCTAACTTATTTCACGAATAAACTAATTGAACGAATAATACAGGGTGTCCACAAAGACCTGAGCAACTTTAATAGTTTGTTGCTTGGAAATAGAATAACTTATACTGAAGAGCCGAAACATTACGACCACATATTCAATAACGCGTTGCGCGACCTTTGGCCTGCAAAACAGCTGCAGCTCGCATTGGCATAGATGTCACAAGTTCTTGGTAGATGACTAGAGACAGGTTGTACCAAATATCTAAGTAGCTCTCACGCTACTTAGATATTCCAATAGTGTGGTGTCCGAGCTCTAAGCTACTGCTCCATGACATCCCAATTGTGCTGTACCGGTTTAAGTGTGTGTGTGTATTTAATTATGGCAAAGCACACGAGGGCTATCTGCCTAAGGGGAGGGATGCCTTCGTGGAGGACTTTCTAAGGGAAACTGGCTCGTATACACGTTGCACATGGGGAAAACCACGAAAACACCCATGCAGCCAGCCCATTCGCGGGATTCGAACCTCGGACCGAACTACCAGTGTTCATCGACTTTACCGCTCGGCCGCTGGTG